TAAAAAATTTTAAAAATTTTTGCAAAAATTCCCGTCGTTAGGTTTGTACTTTTATTTCGTTTCAAAACGAAACGAAATAAATTTTTTTCTTTTTTGTTTCGAAATGCAACGGAAAAGGACAAAAAAGAGCGAAACAAATATCCTTCAATCATAAATATCTCTCAATCAAACGAAATCACTGATATTTTTTAAATCCTCTTTTCCAAAATAAACAGTTTAAAGCAAATTTTTAACTCAAATTTATTTTCTAACACTTAATTTCCTATAAATTACTCTCAATTTTCTTCAATCAATTTTAAACAATCACAAAAAATTTTATTTCACAGGAAAGCGTATAAAAATATATTTTATTGCGAAGTAGATTTTATTTAGAAGAATTTTATTAGAATGAAAAGCCTTTAAACTGGGAAAGAACAATGAATAATGAATGAACTATGAACACCTTTTAACTATCCGCTGATAGATTTTATAGGAAATATGTTGGGAAAGTTTACAACGAAAGAATTTTAATAATAAACAAGTTTTTGTAAGCTTGGGAAAAATGAAATCGCATTTCGAAAATGCGACACTCCGGCCACAAGGTTAAAGTGAAGGGAATATAAGTCCATTAATTTGATGATGAGGTAGAAAAACAACAGAAAAGAAATTTGGATTAATAACGGGAATCAAAGAGATAGAAGGCAACTGAGGGATAACTCCAGTACAAGATTGAGAATAGGTAGAATGTGAACGTATAAGCGGGATATAATAGAATTTTATGTCGTTTAACGGTATCGGTTTTATCACAATTTTGGTTTTTTCATTCATTAAATTTCTGGGAAATTTGGTCGACTCAACCCATTTCTTTCCACATTTCTTTTTCACTGTTATTCGATGCGTTCTGGCCTGATGGTTTGGGATTGTTTGAGCTTGTTCTTTCGGCGGACCAGATTCTTTTGGGGGTGAGGTAGTAAGTGGGATATCCTTCACGTCTATTTCGGGTGGTTGTTGTTGTTGGTTGACAGTAGGTGATTGAGCGAGTGGATCAGAGTAGTCGATTTTTGTTGCAGTGGGAGAAGGGGACTTGACTGATGGCACATCACCTGGGGGGCCTGAAGATTCATTCTGTAGTGTCCAAGTTGGCGTATTATCTGTGGGAACTGAAGTTTCTGGTTTTACCCTATTAATTTTCATAGCTTTCATTGCATTTGTTGGCGTGTGTATGGAATTAATTTCATTATTATTTTTTAATTTTGTATTTGCGGTAGTCGGTGAGTTACAGGAATTTGTTCTGGAATCGGGAGAGGGTAATTGGGTTTGATTGTTATCTAGCTGTGTACAATTTTTGATTGAATTATGGATTAATAATGGCTTGTCTGGTATTGGAAGGGACTTTATTCCAGGGTTAATCTCATTTAAAGTAACTAGTTCGGTCTTGGTTTCCATTGAATTATTGTGGGAGGTGGGACTGTTGAAATCTTCTGGAAATTTTATCAGGGATAAAGGGATAGGCCTTATAGAGGGAGTTGCATCAGATATCATCTGAGAACAGAAATTAGTTACATGCTGCGGGGGAGGTTCTTGTAGGGAATTGAATGGATTTGGACAAAGTGCACGGGGATGGAGATTTCGACAATTAGTGCACGTAATTGGGTTTTGACAGGATCTAGCGAGATGGTCAGGCTTATAACAAGTAAAGCAGAGTTTCTTTTCTCGTAGCCGGGATTTTCGTGTTTGAAGGGTATTATAATTCGAACAGAGGTGGGAGAGGTGATTAGGATGATTACAAAAAAACAGGGGAATTTATACATCCCTGGTCTGTTATTCGGCCTAGAGGTAGAAAATGTCAGAGAGGATTGAGGCATATTTGGGGAACGAAAATTTCCAACTTGCCTGAACTGTTTGGGAGAATTAGAGGGCCTGTCCTGTGTATTGAGTTCCTTCTTCTGGTCCCTAAGGGCTTTGACTCCTTCCTTTCTTTTCAATATTGACTTCAGTGTATTGCGGAGTTGGTCTGTGTTCCAGTCTTGCCCATGAATTTCTTTGTCTCTGAACACTTCTTCAAGTATTTGAGGGGGTAATTTCGATTCGAGTTCCATTTGAACGGGCAGAGTATTTACATCAAAGTGTTGTTCAAGCATTTGCAAATAAAGCGATTCGAATTGGTCGACGAAAGATCGTAATTCAGTACACAAAATTTCGGGACCGTTCACGGAGTGAACGACGGGTAATTTTCGGATGGCATGGTGGAGAGTACGGTTAATTTCGTCTACATTGCCAAAGTTTTCATGTATTAGGCGAATTGCTTCATGGTAAGAAGCTTCTGTGAGAGGGAGTGACTTTACTAGTAGAAGAGGGGGCCCTTCCAAGCATTCTTTCAAATAATTAAATTTTACGGAGTCGGAAATGTTGGTGAGGTCGTGGACTCCGACGCGGAAGGCGTTCCAGAACGAGGTAAACTCCACGCATTTACCGCTAAATTTTGGAAGGGACAGTTTTGGGAGGTGGAAAAGGGTGTCGGTGGTCTGGGAGGGGTCAGGTAAACTTGCGGACAATGTCCCTCTCTCAGAGTGGAGTTTTCTGTTATATTTCATTAATTTACGTAATGTGGTGGGATAAGGCACGTCTGTGACAAATTCATCATAAATTGGGTTGTCCGCCAGTCTTTCAGCTCCAGTCATAGACGTTCTAGTGGCCATCCATCTGTCATTTTCATTAGTAATGTTGTCAAATAGTTCAGTCACGATTTGGGATTCTGAGTCAAGGGAAGTAATAAGGGAGCGTATTTGTGCGTGAAATCGGGATATACTTCCAGTCTGCACTGGGAGAACAAAGGACTTGGGGTCTTCCAATAATTCCTCCGCTTCTTGAATGAGAAGCCGGATTTGGTTACGAAAGGGTGCCGACATTCTCACCGGCTGAGCTTTTCCAAAATAAACAGTTTAAAGCAAATTTTTAACTCAAATTTATTTTCTAACACTTAATTTCTTATAAATTACTCTCAATTTTCTTCAATCAATTTTAAACAATCACAAAAAATTTTATTTCACAGGAAAGCGTATAAAAATATATTGCGAAGTAGATTTTATTTAGAAGAATTTTATTAGAATGAAAAGCCTTTAAACTGGGAAAGAACAATGAATAATGAATGAACTATGAACACCTTTTAACTATCCGCTGATAGATTTTATAGGAAATATGTTGGGAAAGTTTACAACGAAAGAATTTTAATAATAAACAAGTTTTTGTAAGCTTGGGAAAAATGAAATCGCATTTCGAAAATGCGACACCTCCTTAATCAATTTAGAAATGATTTTGTCAAATGATATTATGAATATAGTAAATCATCCAACAAATCCACTTATATCAAACGAACTATTCACCATATATCTCCTAATTCCTCGAAAAAATTTCTTATTTCTGTTGGCTTGTCTCTTAGGTTAACCGAAAAATCAGGTAAACCGTCAACTTGATTTCCCCTCATGGCAAACCAAACTTAACAATGAAGGTGTACCTAAATTATAAATAAGGTGGTTAAATTAATTTAAAAAAATATTTTTAGTTATATGAACTTAAACAAAAGATTATATATTATGGGACATTTAACAACATTAATTATTTTTAATATAACAATCATTTTGATTTTTATTATGCCTATATTTGAATATAAAAATGTATTAGTGACTGGGCATCCATTAGACATTGTATTGTTTCTTTCTTCAATTAATCCAATATATTCTAATATTCCATTAATAATTTTTTCTTTAACTGCATTAATTTATTTAATTATTGCAATTTTAACTAAATACAAAACAGGTTATTTTAAAATTTGAAATCTAACTAACGGGGATAAATCCGACGGATAGAGAGAGAGAGAGGGAGTAAGACAAGGTGTAGGTCTAAAAAATGAGTCCTGTGTGATTACTTAAACATAAATAAAACAAATATATTTCTGACCGCATTACATTGACTTGTTTACATTGATCCTGTCCTGTGCCCATTTCTTTCAGTAATTCACACCAGAGGTCCTTCAGAACTGACAAAGGAGCTGAAACTCGGAAATCTCTCCAAATCTACAGAAATCCAACGCAACTAATTTAAATTTTAAGTTTTAATTTTTAGATATAAACACTCCAACAATGAAAAAGCTTTACCGTTCTCTGTCTTTAATAGTTTTTATAAATATTGGATTGGTATTAATTTATCAAACAATTAAATTAATTATTGCTGGAGATGCGTTTAAAAATCATGAAATTATTAGTGTTAATTTTTGGTTGATATTAACATATTTAGTTGTTATTAACATATGCGGTTTAGCTGTAAATGTTCCAATTTTATTTATTAATAGGTAAATTTACAAAAAAACTTTGATGCCTTAAATTTGATGCTTTATGCCTTAAATACAAAAAATGTTATGGATCCCATAATATTCCTTAAAACTTGAAAATCTAGAAAAACTTAATTATGCCAAAATATAATTTTATTTTAAAGCTTCTGTAAAGCATATAGCTATTTAATTCCTAAGGCTGTGCAGTAGGCAGCGTTGTGTAATGGCTAACACATCAGTCCGGTCTACTGAAGATGCTGGTTCGCTCCCAGCTGCCGATTAACCTCTTGCATTAGCTAAAGGAGAGAAATAGCTATAGCCCAGCTGCTTTACTTTTCCAATAGCCTAATAACTAACAGAATTTTCCAAACCTTGGAAACAGAGTCATGTTCTTACTCGATATTATACTCTAAAACTATCCACAAAAATTTTATTTGACTCAAAAACCAAGGATATATTTTTATTTTAAAGTTCTGACTACAGAGAAGCTTATTTAAAAGAATTTAATTTAATCAAAACATTTTTTCAAAAAATATTTAATAATTCAACAACTCCAGTAATTGTTATTCCAAAAGTCATTAATAACAATAATATAAATCAAATTACTCCAATTTCTGCATAAATGTGTATATTATTCTTATTTATGTATATATAATAAATAGTGTCCGACATTTTAGATCCGAAAAAAGTCTACTTAATATAATGAATAAAATTCGTGGGAGTACATTCGAATCTCACTAAAAACATTCTTGTCGCTCGTTCGATACCCGCTGTAGTAGCACAGTTTTTCCACCGGATTAAATTTGTTATAATTTTGTTCAGAATCATCATATAGAGCTGATTTTGGTGTCATTCGACTCGGCTCATCGAGTTCTTTCTGGTGAGCTCATTGCGCCGACCTTTTCATGAATTAAGCCCCAAAAAAGCACGACAAGCTGTCATCCAGTCAAAGGAAAGAGAGGAAAAAGAGTCTAATCTTGGTCTTAAGTTCGGGAAAATTTTGGTCTCGCACGCCTCTAGAATCTATAAACCAACTCTTACGGACAAATATTAAAGTAAGAAAGGCTAAATATTGCTAATGTGAAGCAAAGTAATAAGGAAGGCTTAAGAAGAATAATGTACTACAAATTGATTAGGAAAACTGATCGGAAAAAACCATTTAAACTGATCGGTCATAGAAAAAAGAATAATGTACAACTGAACGAAAATGGGAAAAAGGAATAAGCATATATACAAAGAAAAATGTACATAAAAAGGATACAGGCTAAAGTTTAAGCGTTTAGAAAAGGCTGGGAAAATTCTTTAGATTTAATTAGATAAAAAGTAAAACAGAAATAAATGTTTCTGGAAAATAAATAAAAATTATGGGAAAAATAAAAAGTTTGTATTTCCGACTTCGCGACATTTCGCGACAACAGATTGGATAAAATAAATGCTGGTTAAAACTAAATACTTTATATTAAAAAGAAAAAAGTGTTGTTTATGATTAAGACAAAAGAAAATAACCATTTTAGAAAAGTTAAAAATCTGAAAAATATTTTACAAATTACACGAAAAAATAGGCGTATGTATTTCATTGAATAATTACTCTTGATAGAGAGGAAATTAATCGAGGAAGGGAAATTGATATAGTTATACAGTATTTTATTTTTAAAAATCATTCATTTTTAATCACTTCTTTCTAAAAATTTTGTCATAAAGTTTGCACATTTATAGTGTGTTGCACACATTGAATAATATTTTTGTCGGTGAGAATATATTGAACGAAATGTATATTCATTTTCAATACTTCGACTAATCAGTCGGCTACATTCATCCAATCTTTGAGCCCCTTCAATTATACCTAAACTTCGTTGAGTATATCGAAGCAAAATATTTGTGTATTTTACAGATTCGTTATAAAGTAATTCCTTTCCTTCGGGAGACAAGTTTTTCGCACCTTTTTTTAGAAAATTAAAGTTTATTTAATTTGAAATTTTAAAAATAACGGATGATATGATCAGGGTTGCGTCGTAATTGAAATTTTAGAAAAAATTCCGTAATCGTTATTTATCAGAAAAAATGTGTGAGTTGTAAAATTTGTAATTTATAGAAAATATTGAATTTCCCCTCCGCATTGTACAGGCGAAACATTTTTCAAAGTTTGAAAGGCAAGATGTATAGGTATTTTAGGTATAATTTCGGAATACTAAACAGAACGCAAATGGGTCAAACTATATGTCATTCGAAAGAGCTTGAGTCGAATGGTGAAAAAATTTTCGTGCGGACTCATACAGGGGCTGAGATATAGGCCCCCGAAAATCGAAAAAAAAGGGGGGACCAAGCACTTTTTTGGGGTAAAAAATTCGAAAAGGCAAATTATAACTCATTCAAAAAAGCTCGTCGAGCTGAGTCGAATGACACCAAAATCAACGAAATCCGACTTGATTGGACAAAGTTATGATCTTTTATTTTAGCTCCTTACCTATGGCATCTGTGGAGATTTTTGCTGCTACGGAGGCCCCAAATACGTCCAGTGCAAGGGAGATAGGAATAGGTTTAAGTTACCCCAGACCCAGCGTCCGTAGACTCCCCGCGAGGGAGTCTACGGAATGCGAAAGTGTGAAATAAGCCCAGCCCTGATTTGAACCCAGCCCTACAACATATCAAAATGAGTGAAGCCGAAAATACATGTTTAGCTCTACGATTTCTATAAACCTTATTTAAATTAAAGTTTTTACCCGATTTCGTAAAAATAATAGCTATTAACAAAGCAAATTCAACGCTTGTTAATGCAACACGTTTGAAGTGAACGACAGATTTTGTAAATGAATAATCTGCCCATTTAAGCAACCTAAAAATTAAAAATATGTTCCATATCTTCTCAATCAAAAATTTATTATAATTATTTTACAAGGCTCCGGCAAATTTTCACGCTTTTCTGTTTGTACCATATCTCGTTTTAAACTCCTTTAAATTTTATAATTCATTATGATACATTTTATCAAAGTTTGAGCAAAGTCTTGGCTAAAATGCTTTTGGCATGTACTAGATTGTAATAAGCACAATCTTTATATCATTCGAATCAGTTCTTCATCCGATTGAAGAATTATCGATTTTTGCTGAGTATGAACTGAGATATGTCCAAAATAAGAACACGTTAAATTTGCCAGACCGTATAGAATTTTATTAACTAGATTAAAATTTTCACTAAGATTACTAGAAAAATATATACTTTTCATCATGTGAATATTCACTATTATTCATAATACCAAGAATAGGCATAACATTATCTTTACGTGTCCAGGTGGTAGAACCTAATTCCCAAGCTAGGTAGGTGCTTGTAAATGAAGTAAACAAAAAACAAATCTGCCTTAGATGTGCAATCTAATATTTAGAAATAAGATTAAAACTTGATAGCAATCGAGGTCTAAAACCAATGAAAGGCGAAGGTAATTCATTCTCTTCGTCGCGTGCAAAAATATTATGTACGGATTTCTGCGAATATATAGACGGATATCTCATATCCGTCCGAGATTTTGATAAAAAAAACCTTAACATATCCTAATTTAATGTAAAGTATTTCAAGATTTTTGCATATTTTTAACAAAAAAAATTTTGTAATTTTCTATTCATAACCTAATCATCAACGATTACAAAAAAATATCATTCTACACTAACTAGTCAAAAATATAAGTAAATGTAAATAAAACCTGATCAGATAAAGTCAATTTATCAAAAAAAGGCAAAACTTTAGCTATACCAACACACAAAAGTCTGTCAACAAGCATGCATTTTTGGCATCTACTATTAAATATTCCTTCATTTTGTACTGATGATTCCCAAAGTTTTAATTCATCAAAAGGTATTGGACTTGGATTTGGCTTTAAACAAAAGTTTTATAGAAAATCATATTAAAATTTACCGAAAAATTATCAACTAAACGAAAAATATTAAAATTAGATAAAATTATTTCTTCAAACAAAATCGGGCCTTTAAGGAATATATCATCCAAATCATTAAATGCATGCATAATACGTTTTTTGGCTTCAATAATTGGTAAAATTATGTTTATTTGTTGTAGATCTTTGATAGTTATTTCGACAATTAGATTCTTTGGAATCTTAAAAAGTAGAGAGTAGATTAGGCTCATTTAAAACTTGTTGAACAATCTAGGTTCGTTTACTTAAATTTGAACAAATGGCTGCCCAGCAGTGATGGAGAAGTTCCAGTTCCGGAACTGGAACCGTGGAACCGGTAAAGTAAATTAAGGGGCATATAATTGTGGAATGATTAAGAAATATGTCTACTCGCAACCCACCAGTGATGTCAAAGTTCCAAAATTTCACTGGAACTAGTTCCAGTTCCAGAACTAGGTTTTTAATTTTTCTAGTTCCAGTTCCAGTTCCGGAACTCCATTTTTGAAATTCCTTAGTTCCAGTTCCGGAACTCCATTTTTGAAATTCCTTAGTTCCTGTTCCGGAACCAGGTTTTTAACTTTTGTAGTTCCAGTTCCAGTTCTGGAACTACATTTTTGAAATTCCTTAGTTCCAGTTCCAGTTCTGGAACTAGTTCCAAGCTAGTTCTAGTTCCAAATTTTTAAATTTTTGAATATGAAAGGATTTCTCAATTTTAACAAATAAAGGCATAACACTACTCCCACAATTGATCCGTGTCAAGTGTTGAGCGTTGAGTGTCAAGTGTCTTGGTCCGTGCCTTTTTTATTTCAATGTAGGAAGGATACGTACTACTCGACACTCAACACTTGATAGTCGTCCGTGTCGAGTGCTTTTCAAGATTTTTTTGAAAGTTAAAACACTCAAAAAACACTTGACACGGATGTCATTGTGGGAGTGTGCACTTAACACTCGACAAAACAATCGACACGGATGTCATTTTAGGAGTGTGCACTTAACACTCGACAAAACAATCGACACGGATGTCATTTTAGGAGTGTGCACTTAACACTCGACAAAACACTCGACACGGATGTCATTGTGGGAGTGTGCACTTAACACTCGACAAAACAATCGACACGGATGTCATTTTAGGAGTGTGCACTTAACACTCGACAAAACAATCGACACGGATGTCATTTTAGGAGTGTGCACTTAACACTCGACAAAACAATCGACACGGATGTCATTTTAGGAGTGTGCACTTAACACTCAACAAAACACTCGACACGGATGTCATTATGGGAGTAGCCTAATTTAAAAAATCATTTAGAGTGCGGAAAAATCGCATTCACGGTATCCCGTAACGGGATTTTTTTCAAAATTTTTTATGGGACAGGATGCCGCGGGATTAATCCCGTAATTCCGATAATCCCGTTTTAAAATTTAGCGGGATCCCGCAGGATTTTGGGATTTTCACATAAAAAATTTTGACGGGGAGATCAGAGGATGTGAAGGGATTAAGGGATTTAAAAGGATATCTGGGGATATTTTTGGTGATATCTGGGTTATAAGAGGATTATGAGTGATAACGGAGGATTTAAGGAGATTGGATGATAAACTGGAGCATTAAGAGGCCGAAAAAATCCACTTTTCAGCGCCGCAGGCGAAAATTTTGAGAATTTCTAAGGTCGTAGGCCGAAAAAATTCACTTTTTCAATTTTAGAATTTTGGAGCTCAAGCTCCAAATTTTGGAACTTTACTAGTTCCGTAGTTCTAGTTTCAAACTAGTTCCAGATAATCGTTAGTTCTGTAGTTTTAGTTCCGAAACTGGAACTAGTTCCGGAACTGGAACTTTGACATCACTGCTCATAACCAATTGGCCTCGTAACATCTAAATGTAAATAAAAAAAATAAATATACATATTTCTTTAGATTTTTCTTTTATTACCAAGTACGAGTGTACGAGTATTTTATAATATTAAAAAAATAAATCTTTAGGAAAGTTCACTATACTATGCAAAATTCCATTTATTAAAAATAAAATAAATTTACGTTAGTTTCGGTTCTCAGTTCGTTTATTGCTTCTCGGCATATATCTTTACGTAAATATCCAACATCTAAGATTACTTTCAAATTATTTTTAAATATGTTGACAAACCCAATTTTTTCATTCCAACAGAAAAACATTTATCAAGTCTGCATTTTTTACATTTTTCCCAATTTCTTTTAATTTTCTTTTCTTTTAATAACAATTGTTCTTGCAAACATTCACATTTACTATATTTACTCTTATTGTCGTTTTCAAGATGACGCCTTTTAAAGGAATTTAAATTATGTATAATACAATAAAATCTCTAATAAAATCGCCGGTCGTTCTATTTTTCCGCTTCAATTTCCAAAGGGTCAGACTACTATATGGG